CCCCAGGCCTGCACAGCCCCCCTGCCCCGCCCCAGACCCCGCACAGCCCCCCGGAACACAGCTCCCCTGCCCCACACAGCCCCCTGCCCTGCCCCGGGCCTGCACAGCCCCCCTGCCCCGCCCCAGACCCCGCACAGCCCCCCGGAACACAGCTCCCCTGCCCCACACAGCCCCCTGCCCTGCCCCGGGCCTGCACAGCCCCCCTGCCCCGCCCCAGACCCCGCACAGCCCCCCGGAACACAGCTCCCCTGCCCCACACAGCCCCCTGCCCTGCCCCGGGCCTGCACAGCCCCCCTGCCCCGCCCCAGACCCCACACAGCCCCCCAGAGCACAGCTCCCCTCACCCCTGCTGGCACACGGCCCACCCTCCCCGGCACACACCCTGTCCCCCCTGCACATGCCCCTCGTGGTCCCTGCTCTCCCCGGTGTGCTGAGCTCTTTGCTCACAGTCTCCATCAGCACAGGACCCTCTGCCCACGCACGGCCCCCCCAGCCCCCTCACCCCGCTGTGTGGGCACCATCACCCTGCGGGAGGCAGGGCTGAACACAGCTGGGGGGCTTCCAGTGCCTCAGGGGTCTGTCCTAGGTGGAAGAGGGGCTGCCATGCCCAGGCTCAGCAGGGACCCCCATGTCACACCAGGGAGGGGCCCTGGCCCGCTCCCTGCTCAGGAGGTCTGCGTCAGGGGCCTGTGCTGGAGCCACAGCAGGGACTGTAAGGAATCACAGCCCTCACACCCAGACCTGGCGGGAGGCTGTCCTGGGGTCCCCCTCCCCTGGGAGGGGATGGATGCTGAGCTGCAACACGGGGAATTCACAAGTCATTCACAGTCAGTGCTGAAGGCATAGAGGTGCTGCCTGAGGAGAGGCTCCCGGGGCTCAGCACAGGGGATTGAATCTCCCTAACACTGCTGCTGCTTGCAGAGCTGTGAGGTGCCACAGATCTGCCCTGGTGTTGGTTCATGACTTTGCTTCTCCCAGGATTTGCAGCTCTGGGGCAGCTCTGCCCCCCCTGCCCTGCTCCCTCCCCACACCCCACCTGTGGCTGGGTCTGGGTGGTGGGGGAGCGTGTCCTGCTTGTGGCACATGTTCTCAGGGCTGTGTGGTGCCTGTGCTGCACTGATGGTTGGAGCTGGGGGGGGTCCCTGCGTGCTCACCTCCTGCTCGCAGCCTCCCTGTCACCCCCACTTTGCTCCTGCCCCGATTCTCCCTGCCCTGCCACTGCTGCCCCTGCCCTCCTGCTCCCAGCAGCCCAGGATGCTGGGAAAGCACAGCCCCGGGGCCTGGGGGTGCCCTGCTGAGCCGGGGGCTCCCCTCGCTGAGCCGGCACTGGCCCTCAGCTCTGAGAGCTGCGGGGGGGTGGCACGATGCCCCCCTGCCTGGCTGCTGGGGCCCTGCCAGGCCGCTTTGCTGTTCCTGCTGTTATTTTTATCGGATGTCACGGAGTCTATTGCTGGCAGCACGTCCCCCTGTGCTTGGCAGGAGACCAATGGAGAGCTGGGACGGGCTTCCAGGGCCGGCCCTGCCCACCCCTCCCCTGCTCACTGTGGCCCTGGGCTGGCTCTGACCTCGGCTCTGCTCTGCCTGTTGCTGCTTCCCGTGGGAGCTGGTGCTGCTGTGGCACAGCCCCCTGTCCCCAGGGCTCTGCCAGCCTGCAGGGCTGCGGGGCACAGCCTCTCTGGATGCTGGGCTGCTGCTGGACATGGTTCCACCAGCCCAGAAGCTTCTGCCCTCGGGCTGGGCTCTTCCTGCTGCAGCAGGTGCCCAGCTCCAGCCAGGGGGGTGTGAGCACCCCTGCTCTCAGAGCTTCCACGAGGATCTCCATGCACGGCCAGGCTCAGCCCCACTGCTGGCTGTGATGGTCCGTGCAGCTTCCCAGCCCTGTGCCAGGTCTATCCCAACCTCCAGCCCTGCCTTCTCTCGCTGCTCCCAGAGACCCCAGTGCTGCCAGCTGGGGCCAGGCCAGGGAGCTGCTGGCAGTTGGCTGTGCCCGCTGTGTGCAGCCACACTTGCTGGCTGAGCTGCTGTCCGAGGGTCTGGGGTCAGGCAGGGCTTTGCCTCCTGCATCCTGGGCCCTGGGCCAGGCTGCCAGCAGGGCCTGGGCACAGTGGGCAGTAGCACGTGCCTGCAGCCGTGACCCTCCTGTCCCTCTGCCTGTGGAGAGCAGTCCCCTGCTCCTGCCATGGCAATGCCATGGGCACGGAGATGGTGCCCTGCTCAGGTTTGGGCCCCATTCAGAGTCCTCTGGTCACAAGAACATCAGCCTGGGGGGCTGCTAGGCACTCTGGGCACCAGGTTTGGCTGGGATGAAAGCTCCAGCCATGCACAGGAGCTGTGGCTGGGCTGTGCTGATGGCACCCTGGGCAGGCACTGTGGCCAAAGCCATTCATTGCAGGGGGCTGGATCTGGCTGCATCCCCAGGCCTGGGAAGGGATGCACGGACAGGTCTGTCCCTCCTGGCACAGCCTCATCACTTCTGGGCACTGAGTCTTTGGCACTGGATGAGTAAGAGGTGCCTGCTGTGTTCTCCATGAGTGCCGTGCCCTGCACCCAGCTCCTGGGACTGCAGCTCCTGGGAGTGCTGCTGCCAGCAGCCAGGGCTCTGTGCCTGGAGTCCAGCACCTGCCTCCACCCCCTGCCCGGTGCCGCTGTGGCCCGTGAGCTGATGGGGCTGCTCTGCCATCGTGGGGGGCTGTGGGGTCTCTCAGGGCTGGGGACAGACCCTCAGATCCTGGGGCAGGAGATGGAACCTGTGAAGCAGCAGGTGGTGCTGCTGGGAGTGCAGCAGCTCTGTGGGGCAGCAGAGCCTGGGCTGGCCCTGCCAGTGAGCTTTGGGGACCATGTGGCTTGGTGTGGGGACAGGGAGCTGGGCCCTTTTCCATGAGGAGCCACTGAGGAAGTCCCTGGGGTACAGCTGGTACCGAGCTGGTCATGGCTGGGGCTGTCAGACAGGGGCTGCTGGGGCTGGCACCCATCAGGCTGAGGGCTTGCTGGGCTCAGGGCTTCCAAGGACGGAGCAGAGAGGCAGTGTGGCTGGAGACCTGCCAGGGAACCGTCCCAGGGGGAGTGGGGAGAGGGAGCAGGAGCCGCCAGGGCCGGGGGAGCAGCTGGAGGGGGCAGCACTGGGCCAGCCGAGTTGCGTCGATGGGGTCAGGGGTGTAGGATGGAGCAGGAGCTGCCAGAGACCCAGCCGGGCAGCACCCCACCAGGGACACTGATCTAGAAACAGGGCCAGGAGCTGTGCCAGCAGCCAGCTGTGGCAAGGGGCTGGGACAGCCTGGGCAGTGGGGAGCTCGTTTTGCCCATCCCAGCTGCTGGAGCTGCTCTCTGTGGAGGGGATCACAGTCAGCAGAGCCTGCCCGGTGTCCAGGGAGAGCTTTGGGGGTGCTGTGGGAAAGGCTGCGGTGGAGATCACGGGCAGCAGCTGGACAGGCTCTGCTCTGAGAGCCCCAGGCACTGTGGACCCTGGGTGAGGGTCAGCCCCAGTCCGGGTCACAGGGTCGGGGTGCAGCTGGACACCGTTTTCACCAGAGATGCTGCGGTGTCCTGGGAGGCCCGAGGCACTTGGCAGAGTGGGACGCCTGTGCCCTGGGGTTTGGTGCAGGCAGTGGGGAGCTGCAGCTGGGACAGCTGGCAGGGCTGGAGCAGGCTCAGGCATCCTGGGGCAGGGGGCCCAGCTGTGGGCAGGCCACACAGGGGTCTCACCTGCCTGAGTGGGCTGTGCTGGTTGCAGGGGCCCTCATGGGAGCTGGGGATGTGATTGCGCAGCAGCTGGTGGAGCAGCGGGGGCTGCATGGGCACCAGTGCCCCCGCACCCTGAGAATGATGGCCATTGGCTTCTGCTTTGTGGTGAGTGGCAGCGGGGTGGGATGGGGTGGGCTGGGGTGGAGTGGGAGGCTCCTTCAGCCTAGTGGGACCATGGTGGTGCAGTGAGAGTTGGGCCATCCTGGTGCCACCTCCAGCAGCCATGGGCAGGGCCAGTTCCATGGAGCAGGAGCAGCATAGGACAAGTTTGTCTTTGTGGTCCAGGGCGGGAGCAGGGCCATGTAACCAGCTTGGATCCCCCCAGCCCTGACCCCAGTGACCAGTGAGGGCAGATACTGCTCCTCACCCCCTGGCTCCTGCAGGGCCCTGTTGTGGGCAGCTGGTACAGGATCCTGGATTGGCTCATCCCAGGGAACACAAAGGTTGTGGCTGTGAAGAAGGTGATCCTAGACCAGGTTGGTGTGACAATAGTGAGGGTGTTGCGTGGGACTGGGGCAGTGGGATGGAGCAGTGGGGACAGCTGTGTCCCTCTGGCAGGTTTCCAGCCTGCTCTGAGAGCCCAGTGCCTGAGCTGGGCCCAGCCTCACTTAAGTGGAGGGCTGGGGGGGGCATTTTCACAGAGGCTGCCCATGGCCAGCCTGGCTTCAAGCACCACAAGCTCCTCAGCACGGGCCGTGGCTCCTCTCTCGCAGGGGGCTTTCGCGCCGTGCTTCCTCGGCTGCTTCCTGGCTGTCACAGGGGCCGTGAACGGGCTGTCAGTGCAGGATAACTGGTCCAAGATCCAGCAGGTACGTGCTGCTGCCCTGGGCAGCCCTGAGGGGCCCTGGGCAGCCGTGGGGCCCTGGCAGCTCCTCCCTGTGTGCTGGCCCTGACGGCTGCTCCTGTTTGTGTCCGTGCCCATGGCCAGGCACTGGGTCCCAGGGCCCTGGGCGTGTTGGGTGCCCAGTGCTGCCAGTCCAAGTACTGGTGCCAGGCCTGGTTCCTCTGGCGTGGGTGTCCTGTGGGTGAGTACTGGGGTCCCACCAGAGCCAGACACGGGTGCCATGGGCATGCTGTCCAGCCCCGCTCCTGGCTGGGTCTCCAGAGCAATTACCGAGATGACTCCCATTAACAGTAATTGCTGGAAACCGGTGTGAACACTGAGTCAGCGTGTCCAGAGTGAGTCACTGGGGAGTGGGTGCCCACCTGCCACAGGAGGAGGCATGCTGGGGTGGTCGTGTGGCTGCCAGGAGTGGCAACACCAGCCTCGCTCACTGATGCTGCCGGAGCTGCGTGTGAACGGCCCCAGCCTGGCTGGAGCTCTGCCCGAGTGCCACCACCCAGGGTTTGTTCCTTTGCATGGGAGCACCCAGTCACCAGCCTGCTACACTCTGGGCTGCCAATACATGCCCCTCATCCTCCCCCAGAGTGCAGGAAGCAGATTCCAGGGCAGGATCCCATCACCTCTGCTTTCGTCAGACTCTATGCAAGTCACGGACGGGGTATGGAGTGCTCCGAGGCACCCTAAGGACACGCATGAACAGATCGTGGGCACAGGCAGCACTCTGAGCACTCCAGTCCATCTTCCCCTGCTGCATCCTGACCAGCTCGTGCCATGGATCCTGCCTTGCCTTCCCCAGGGAATCCTGCCCTGCTTGGTGATTCGTGCGAGCTGTGGCTCCTGGCGAGCCCCGACCTGCGAGGGGGTGATGGGCTGGGGGCTGGGCAGCAGCTCTGGCAGCACCTTCACCCCTGGCTTGGGGTGCATCCGCCTCTCCCCACGCAGAGGAAGCGTCAGCAGAGCATCCATCACCCCGCACCTGCTCAGCCCGTCCTGGGCTGCTGGCCAGCGGCAGGAGGAGCCCGGCCTCCTGGCTGAGTCACGGCCAAGCTGGATGAGGGACTTGTCCTGCTGCCATGGGACAGGGATGTGACACGGCCTGGCTGTGGCAGGAGGACAAGGCAGCACCTTGGAGTCCCAAAACAGTTGCCCCAGCTCAGTGCCTTTCTCCATTTCTGCTGCATGGTGCCGAGGAGGGGGCTGGGGGGGCACTGAGCTGGAGAGGGGCTCACAGCCCACACTGGGGAGAGAAGCCATCTGCCCATGTGCCGTGGCTGTGGCACAAAGGGCTCTCGGGGGGGATGGTTCTGGTCACCCTCTCCCTGCCACCCTCAGGCAGGGAAGGCATGGGCAGGGCTGCAGGGGCTCCGTGCCCGGCAGTGTGGAGTTGGGGGGACCAGTGGCAAGGATGGGGGCCGAGTGCTCACACCTCCTTTTTCTTGCAGGACTACATGGATGCCTTGATGACCAATTACTGTGTGAGTGCTGGCAGATCTCTGTCCCTGCCTGTCTCCTCCATGGGGCTGCCATGGGCTCTGTGGGACAGCCTGAGCACCAGGCAGGGGTGGGTGTGGGGCAGGGACCCTGGCAGGGCTCCTCACTGCTCCTCCCTTTCTCTGCCCAGATCTGGCCACCCGTCCAAGTTGCAAACTTCTACTTTGTGCCTCTGCAGCACAGGTAAGGTTGCGGCCCTGGCGCCCAGTCCGTGCCCCGTGAGGCGGCAGCTGCAGACCCTGTCCCCTCTGTCCCCAGGCTGGCTGTTGTCCAATGTGTTGCCATCGTCTGGAACTGCTACCTGTCCTGGAAAGCAAATCGGATGTGAGGCAGAAGCCATGTCCCATCCCTGTCCCCAGCCTGTGCCCTGCCTGACCCCACCGCGGCTCAGAGCCCTTGGAGTGGGCGCGTGTGGCCGTGGCAGGTGGGACACGCGGGGTCCTGGCAGCAGCCATCCCGCTCTTCTCAGGGGAGCACCATCCCCTGTGGCCTCAGCCCCCACTGCCCCAGGGAGAAGATGGTGCCAAGACAGGCCTGGATCTGCTCTTGCCCTGCTGCGCAGCAGCTGTGCCCACGATGTGCTTCTCCACCTGTGCTCAGCCATTTCTGAGCCCTTGCCTGCACACAGGGTGTCCTGCCCCGAGCGTCACTCTGACCTTCCCATGGCACATCCTGAGGGAAGAGAGGAGGGGAAGTGGAGAAGAGGAGCAGAAATGGCCCTGAGCTGGCTGTGCTATGGGCACAGAACTGGGGTCACTGCAGGCTGGGGATGCTCCCCCTGAAAACGGGGTTTGCTGTGGCTCTGCTGTGGACAGTCAGAGCATCAATAAACGGTGGTCTTCACATCTGATTCCCGTGGCCCGGGGGCTTGTGGCCCAGCGTGCCCCCCAGACCCTGAAGATGCAGTTCCAGAGCGACTGTTCTGTTACGGATCAACAGGTCCACCCTGCCTCATCTCAAGGCACCGAGCATAGGGCGATGGACTGCAGGCAGCTGGGGTGGCCTGCCCCACTGGCTAGAGAAGGACTCTGACAGGGGGTGGATGGTGGTTCAGGGGATCATCCAGCTGCAGCTGTTCCATGGGCTGTGATGGTGCCTCCACAGCTGCAGAGCAGTGAAATGAGGTCGATGGTGCCAGAGTCCTGATGCTGGGTGTAGAGTCCCCCAGGGGCAGGGCGTGCCTGATGCAGGGCTGTGCATCTGGGGAGGGTGCCATGTCCTAAAGAAGCCTGCCTGTTGTGCCAGAGAGAAGCCCCACGGAGCTGTCACTGCCAGCACTGCTGCCCCTGGGCAGGTGTGTCCACGCTGACACAATCCAGCTCCCACAGTGTCCCTGCCCAGCACATCCCAACCAGGGGCTCCAAGTGGAGCTAGTGGGACCACGGTGGTTCATCTCACCTCTGTGGAGCTCTGAGCCCTGGCCCCCTCACCTGTGCTACTGCAGCCCCACATAGCTGGACAGAGCCATCCCCATGCTGCTGGCACCACCTGGGCTCTGCCAGCGTGGCCTTCATGGAGGGGATTCACTGTTGTCCTCCACCCTCATCCTCCCCACGGTCTGGTTCTGTGCTGAGTACCTGGGGGGCCTCGGGTTCTGTGCGGAGCTCAAACTCTCTGCAGCCAGTGGGGTGGGTGCTGAAGGTGGCAGGAATTTGCAGCTCTGAGGTGTTGAGCCTCTCACAGCTCCCTCTGGGGGTGCAGGAGGCTCTCGCTGTCAGCAACGAGTGAGCTGCGAGCATGGCAAGAGCCACGTGAAATGAGCCACTTGTCCCCAGGAGCAGCCGCCCCAGCGTGGGGCTGCCAGGGCTCGGGGGGCTGAGTCCAGCCCCTGCTGAGGGCTCTGCCCTGCCGCTGCGGGAAGCGGTGCCTGGTGCCAGCCTTCATGCCAGATCACGTCATGGGGGCACGACACCGTGTGCTGCTCTCTGCCACCCCTGTGCCACCTGGGGTGCGACACACCGTGCAGGGGGCCAGGCTGAGCCTCTGTGCCCGCCTCTGCCCCACACTGGCACCTGCACCAGCGCTGGGTGTCAGCTCAGCTACACTGCTGTTAGCTCGGGGGGCTGCTCTTGGCAGTGTGGAGAACTCGGGGGGCTTCAGTAATCAGTGTGGAGCTCTCGGGGGGCTGCTGTTGGCAGTGTGGAGCACTCGGGGGGCTGCCAGCAGTGTGGAGCACTCGGGGGGCTGCCAGCAGTAGTGTGAAGCCCCAGCAGCCACCTCACCATTTGGCAGCGGTGCCGGTGCCCCGACGGAACACCCTGCATCCAGCACGGCGCTGCCGGCTCCGGTGCCTTCATTCTATGACTCACAGGACTTGGCCGGTGCTGCCGCTGCGCTCGGGGCGTCTGCGGCCTCGGCCCCGCGGTTTGACCTCGGCACCGCCCGCTCGGCCCGGGACACTGAGCCGCAGCCAGGCCGGGCCCCCATCCGTGACCCTCCTGTCCCGGAGCTGCCGGTGCTCGGGGTATCCCCACCCCCGCCCAGGGATGTCCCCCATCCCCAGGCGGGTCCCTGCTTGGACGCCGCTGCTCGACGCGGCCGTTCCGCCCGGGAACGCGAGGGTTCCACGCCGAGAAGCCGCGGCTCAGCCCGGTACAGCTCACCGAGGGCTCACCGGGAGCTCACCAGTACAGCTCACCGGCTCGGCTCCGGTCACCGGCCCCGATGCCCCAGCGCTTCCCGGCCGTTCAGCACCGCGGACAGCGGCGGAGAATGAGACTGGAGATGCGGCATAGCCGGGAGAGGGACCGGGAGAGGGACCGGGGAAATCGGGGGACCGGGAAAGCGAGGGTTAGCACTGCCCAAGGCACCTGCTCTCACCAGCCCCGGCCCCTCCGCGCCTCTTTGGTGGGCGTCAGAAAAGAACCGGAGCGGTGGCTCCCGAACCCGGGGAGAGCGGGCTCTGCCGCCCCGCCCCTCATCCCCGTCCCGCCGCCGGGTGTCCGCTCCCCGCCGCCCGGTGCCCCCTCCCCCCCGCCCCCGCCGCCCGGTGCGTGCCCGGCGCTGACGTCAGCCCGGGCTCCGGGACCGATATAAGCCCCGGCCGCGCCGCCGGCTCAGCTCCCGCGGGACGGATCGCGCTCGCTCCGCCGCCAGCACCGGCACAACAGGGCACGGGCACAGCGCACCGGGTACGGGACGGGGCATGGGAACCGGGCGGGGACAGCACCGGGGCCGGGGGCGCGCAGAGGGGACGGAACGGGGCGGCCGGGAACGGAGTGGGCTCCGCGCGCGGGACGGTCCCGGGGCCGCCATTCCCGTCGGGCCCCCGCCGCCGCCCCGGTCTCTGCTGCGGCGCTGAGCCTCTGGCCCCGCAGGTGCAGAGGGACCGAGGATGCGGCGGGCACTGCTCACCCTCCTGCTGCTGCTCGCCCGCCCGCCGCCCGCCGCCGCCCGTCCCGCCACCACCGACGGCTCCGTCCCGGCGGCCGGGACCGGGGCTCAGGACCACCCGCTCTGGCCGCCGCTGGCGCCGCCGCCCCCGGGGCCGTGGCGAGGGCGGCGGGACGAGCCGCCGCTGTCCATCGACCTCACCTTCCACCTCCTGCGGCACCTCTTGCTGCTCGCCCGCGCCCAGAGCCAGCGCGCCCGCGCCGATTCCAACCGCCGCATCCTCGACGCCGTGGGACGCTGATCCCCCCCGGAATTCCCGGATAGCCCGAACCCCCTCTTACCCTGGGGCTGCACCGGCCTCCAGCCACCGCCTCGGGCTCTGCGCTGCAGGGCGCACGGCACCAGCACCGGCACGGGCTGAACCCGACTCAGCCCCAGCGCTGGGGCGAGTGGGAGCGGAACCGGCCCCGGGACCGGTCCGCACCGATTTTGTAATAAAACGTGGTGGAAACCCGAGGAGTGAGCGAATGAGGGATGGGGGCAGCTGGGGCTGTGCAGGGCCAGGGACTGGGCAAACTGGGAACGTGCTCACCGGGAATGGGCTCAGCAGGAATGGAGAATGGGGGGGATAGGCTCAGTGGGAGCAAGGGAATGGGCTCACCAGGAACAGGGAATGGGCTCACCAGGAACAGGGAATGGGCTTATCAGCAATGAAGAAGGGGCTCACCAGGGATGGGAAACAGACTCATTGGGAGTGGTTTACCAGGAAGGGACAAACAGATTCACTGGGAATAGGGAAAGGGCTCACAGGAAAGGGAGAAAGGGCTCAGGAGTAGGAGACAGGATGAGATGGGCCAGGGCTGAGTAGGAGCACTGGGAGCAAGGCTGTGCGTGCTCTGGGTCAGGAGGTGACACCATGTTCTTCAGGGGGATTGAGATGCTCACAGCCCCCCAGGTGTGGGAGCAGTAGGAAGAAAATGGGGCAGAGGGATGGGAACAGTGGATCCTCACCACCAGTGAGCCAGGCACATGGGGGCTGCACCCACCTGCCCGCAGTGGGGGCACGAGCAGGGAAGCAGTCCCTCCCCAGGATGGGGGACAAGGCTGGGAGCTGGGGGAGGGCCCCTTGTGGGAGGATATGGCCACCCATGCGGGAGCACCAGGAGCAGGGGGAAACCTCTGTGGGACACACGCTACAGCTGAGTGGGTCAGGGCTGGGGTCGTGGAAGGGGAGGGGGGACACCGGGGTGGGCTGTGTTTCAGGCCCCCAACCAAGAGGACAAGCATGAAGCCTTCTGAGGCAGCTGGGGGAGGTTCAGCCTCCCTGTGGGTGGCCCTGGTCCCCACTGGGGGCTCCAGCTTGGTCTGTGGAAGGTGCCCTTGCCTGTGGCAGTGGATGGGACCAGATGTCCCTTCCCTAAACCAGCCAGAAATTCTGTGATAACATCCCGATACCTGCTGGAAGGGCAGCATGGCAGGGCTGGAGCAGGAAGCAATATTTTGATGGTGTACCTGGGAAAGACTGCATGGGGATGTGAGAGCAGTGGAGGTCAGTGCTCAGGGCAGGCAGGAGTGCAGGCAGCACAGAGCTTGATAACCCTGGCAGGGTGTGCAGCCCTCCGATTTCACGTGAGCTGCTTTCACTGAGCCAGTGGCTCTGGTAGGAGGCTGCTCCAAGGGGCAGAAGAGCTGGGGAGCACGGCCTTTGGGAACGAGCTCAAGGCTGCAGATTCCACCACTCCAGGCCCTGCTCCAGCTGCTCATGCTGTGGATGTTCACTGGGATTTTAAAGGGGAAATTCCACCAGAGCATGAGTGCCCTAGAGCAGGAAGGCCTGGCTGGCAGGAAAGGTTGTAGTGGGACAATCCCTCCTAGGAAATACTTATACCAGATTGGACACTGACTTGGACAGCCTGCTTCAGCCAGCCCTGACAAGCAGGGCTGGGGCTGGTGGGGTTCTAGGGGCCTCTTGCCCCTCACACAGCCATGGGTGCCTTCCCAGCTGGAGGCACCACAACCCCTCTAGGCAGCCTGTTGCAGGCACCCTGTGTGATCAGCCTCGCTGCAAAAAAACCCCCAAATCTCTGGAGGCCAGTTTGTGCCTGTTGCTGCTGGTCCTGTCACTGGGCTCCACTGGGAAGAGCCTCGCTCTTCTGTGTACACAAAGGTACCCCAAAACATTCCAGTTCCTCCTCATGCAGCACATGCTGCAGCCCCTTTGGCATTGCTCTCCTGGACTCCAGATGTCACGTCCTTCTTGCCCCAGGAAGCCCCAGCATGGCCAGGATGCTGCATCCACAGCTCTCCACACTTCATGGAGGGGAGGGCTCCCTCTCTCCCTTCGTCCTCCCCAGCCAGTGGGCTGTTGTCCACCTGGATCTTCTGGGAAGGGATGTCACTGCTGCCTCTCTGACTCAGTGTCACCACTGAGGATTTTGTTGTCCCTCATGTCCCTCAGTAGCTGTAGTTGGACACTTGTGATTGGTAATTACATCATGAACCTCGCAGGCTCGACTAATCTTCTAAGGAAAAGGGAAGAGCATTCCGAGAGCACTGGGCTGGCTGGATGAGAGGCACCAGGACTGAACCAGGGGAAAAGGAAATTCTGGCAACAGGAGATCACAATCAGTGGCTCACTGAGCACCTACTCAGAATGGACCCCAACTCAAACTGAGGAAAAGCTGCACCTGTAGAGGGAGATACACCCAGGAAAGAGGGGTTTGAGTCCTAATTAATAACAGTTCTGTAATTGGTAACAAATGAATGGCGGTTATTTGCTCAAATGTATCAAGAGTGTAAGGTTCTGATGCTCAGGGATCAGCCTTGGAGAAGCCCTCAGCTCCTGGCTCTGCTCTAAGCAGAATAAACCCAGAAATCCCTTGCCTTGATTTGTGGCTTGTCAGTGCACAGCAGGCAGCCCACAGCTGTTTTGGATGACCCAGATGGGATAGCCAGAGTGCCCTGCCCCAACTCCAGGCAGGACGAATTCCCGCGCACGCCAACCCCGTGATCGGGCACTGCGGGTGAGCAGCCCTGACACCGGGACAGCCCGTGGTTCCATGGCACAACACGATCCATAGAGGTAATTCCTCGCTGAAGGGGGTGGTTGGAAGTTGCCAGGAAGCAGGATTTGGGGTTTGGGCTCTGCATAAGCTGAAGAAAAAAATATTTTGTTTCTACAGTTTGGTGATGCCTGTCTGGGATTTTTGATGTTTGCACAGGTTTTTCACATGCTGAGCTGGTGATGTGAAAACTGGGATTTGGATGCGTGCACTGGCATGGTGTATGAAACACTGGAAATTCCACAGCTGAAATGGGTTCCTCTGCTTCTGTGAAAATTCCACTTTGCTGTCCTCTAGGATGCATCCTGGAGGGTTAGGGTGACCCTATGATTCAAGATAAATTGAAAAGATACTGTACTGTAATCAATGGTTGCCTCATTCTGAATTAAATGATGGTGAAAAAAGGATGGAAAATAACAGGTCTTTAAAATACAATACAGTTTTACAGTTGATGTTACTTTGTAAGAGGCAAAATGAATGGGATGAAGTCCCTGATGTAGATCTGGTTTTCACTTTAAGAAATAATTAATAAAGTAAGAAAAAATATGGTTTAGTAGCTTCAAAAGTATCAAAATGGAATATGTTCTTTGGGAAATGAAGAAAAGAGGATAAGGGGAAAGATACTTGTTGCATGGGACAAGAAGATAAAAGAGACAAAAACCTCAAGTCCAACTCTTGGCAGCTCCTCCGAAGGAAGGATGAGAGCTGGAGGTGGGCAGTGTATCTGGAGATGAAACGGTGCCTTTGACACATCCCTCACCTCCAGCAGGGTCAGGGAGAAAGGTAAGTTGGTACTACAAACACATCTAGGGCAGCAGAGGAACCATGTGCAGGTGCTGGTCACACTTCAGACTTGCTGAATCAGCAGCAGCCAGCAGGGTCATCTCACAGAAATCCTGATGGAATGTGCAGAGTGATTAAAACCATGATGTCAATTCATAATCCAAATAATCCAAACCGGGAGGACATCCAGGCTCTCCTGGAATATTTGCTTCCCCATGAGGAATGGAAGGCAATTTAGAAAAGGCTTGAGAAGAAGGAGTTAGGAAAACAGGATTAGATCAAATGGTTCATGGCAACCCAAATCCTCACAGATTTCATCCTAAGAAGGACCCAGGGTGGGATCTCAATCAGAGTGCTGGTGAGAGTCAATGAAATGATATTAGAAAATTATTTTATTTGGATTGTAAGAGGAAGTGAAGAAACTGAAACACCTTGCCAAGTTGTATGAAGGGAAGAGGGAGCAAAGCAGTCTCCATTGGCTTTGTATGAAAGATTGTGTGAAGTGGCTCCCAAAGGGATGGATCCAGATCCAGCAAGAGAAGGGAGCAGGATGCTGTTTAACAGGCTTTTCGCTGGGCAGTGGGCAGCTGGTATTAGAAACTCCAGAACAGAGAGGAAGTGGAGGGGGTGGTTATTTCCCAAGTGATACCTGTAAGGATCAGGAAGAGGTAGAAGAGAAGGAGAAGAGCCAAGAGAAATTACTGAATCCATCGTCAGGGGCAGGCAATTTCAGGGATGAGGCTGGGGCTGAGGGTGGGGATTAACACCCTCCAAAATATCAGGGTGCCCGTTGCAGACAGAAGGGCACTGGGAAAAGGAGCAGCCCCAACTTACAAATAGGCAGAAGGAAAAATCAGAAGATGCAGAAATTAGGCTGGACTGAGGGGGAACAGAGACATCTCCTGTTTCCCTGGCCAGTCCTTTGATTCCAGTTAAACTGGGGAATGAAACAATGGATTTTCTAGTGGATAATGGAGCATTTCATTCTGTAGTTACCGTGAAGAACCTTTAAACAAAAACAGGGAGGAAATTCCTCAGGAGCAGGTAATCCCTCAGACATTTTCACATCCCATGGAATTCACAACTGGGAGCACAAAATGACCCCATCACTTTCTCTACCTGCCAGAGTGTTCTTTTCCATTGCTGGGGAGGGATTTGCTGTGCCAGCTATGCCAGTCTTTACTGACAGGAGTGGTGATGTGCTAAATGGAGGCCAGAAATCTGGGCACACTGTGGTCACCACCATGAAGGTACTGGGAAACAATCCACTGCTCATGAACAGCTCTGCCCAGAAAACCAGACCGGGAGCTCTCACTCGGGCCCTGGCATTGAGCTGAGGAAAGAAGTCAATATTTATACTGACTCAAAACCTGCCTTTGGCACAGTCCATGCTCATGGAGCAGCTTGGGAAGAGCAAGGAGTTTTGACCTCACAGGGGAGGTCAGAAAAATATGTA